GATACTGACTTACTGACACTGGATCAAGTGGGGAGGGTACGATGTGACACTAGTGCAGCCAGTCTGTCACAACATTGGAGTCTGATACTGACTTACTGAGACTGGATGAAGTGGGGAGGGTACGATGTGACAGTAGTGCAGCCAGTCTGTCACAACATTGGAGTCTGATACTGACTTACTGAGACTGGATGAAGTGGGGAGGGTACGATGTGACACTAGTTCAGCCAGTCTGTCACATCATGGCAGTCTGATACTGACACACTGACACTGGATGAAGTGGGGAGGGTACGATGTGACACTAGTGCAGCCAGTCTGTCACATCCTGGCAGTCTGATACTGACACACTGAGACTGGATGGAGTGGGGAGGGTATGATGTGACACTAGTACAGCCAGTCTGTCACATCGTGGCAGTCTGATACTGACACATTGACACTGGATCAAGTGGGGAGGGTACGATGTGACACTAGTGCAGCCAGTCTGTCACATCCTGGCAGTCTGATACTGACACACTGACACTGGATCAAGTGGGGAGGGTATGATGTGACACTAGTGCAGCCAGTCTATCACATCCTGGCAGTCTGATACTGACACACTGACACTGGATCAAGTGGGGAGGGTATGAAGTGACATTAGTGCAGCCAGTCTGTCACATCCTGGCAGTCTGATACTGACACACTGACACTGGATCAAGTGGGGAGGGTACGATGTGACACTAGTGCAGCCAGTCTGTCACAACATCAGAGTCTGATACTGACACACTGACACTGGATCAAGTGGGGAGGGTATGATGTGACACTAGTACAGCCAGTCTATCACATTGTGGCAGTCTGATACTGACTCACTGACATTGGATCAAGTGGGGAGGGTATGATGTGACACTAGTACAGCCAGCCTATCACATCGTGGCAGTCTGATACTGACACACTGACACTGGATGAAGTGGGAAGGGTACGATGTGACACTAGTGCAGCAAATCTGTCACATCGTGGCAGTCTTATACTGACTCACTGACACTGGATCAAGTGGGGAGGGTACGATTTGACACTAGTGCAGCCAGTCTGTCACATCATGGCAGTCTTATACTGACTCACTGACACTGGATCAATTGGGGAGGGTATGATGTGACACTAGTGCAGCCAGTCTGTCACATCGTGGCAGTCTGATACTGACACACTGACACTGGATCAAGTGGGGAGGGTACGATGTGACACTAGCGCAGACAGCCCCATAGTGATGAACTCAAAAAGGTGGGGACTATTCCTGACCACCATTGTTGGCCTGTCTTGATTCCAGTTTGTATCTCCATTATTTAGTGTAATTTCCCCTAAAGTACCCCTTTGAGAAAAATGGAGAGAAATCAACAATCTAAAAGAATACGTAAAAAGCACAAGTGTCCTAAGCATGACACGGCCCACAGAATATTGCCACCTCAGCATTTTCTCTAAGTCTTTGGCTAAAACATGCAATCATGAATCTTTGTCCTCCTGCAATCTCATCAAAAATCAAAATGTTAAAATGTGTTGCCTGGATACAAAGATCTTGATATTCAAAGACATAATAACCATAAATGCCAATGCATCTTTCAGCCAATCGTGCGCTGACACTCCACCACGTGTGACAGTGCTGCTGTGGTGCATGGTAAACAGCCAGAGCTGCAGGCCTCACCAGGGTCAGTCCAGGGCATCTGTTCCCTGAACACCAATTGACAAATTCGGCTCTGTCATCATGGTTCAAGGCAAAAGGGACATGTATTGTACCAGCACTAGACTATGGACAAGAGCTGAACCTACAGTGGAAGTGTTACGAAGGTACACCTCTAGCTGTACAGCATTCACTCTGCCGGACCTAGGACACCGTACTGTGAGGTGCAGTAACACAGGACATTTCCTGATGCTGCCGGAACTAGGACACAGTACTGTGAGGTGCAGTAACACAGGACATTTCCTGATGCTGCCGGACCTAGGACACAGTACTGTGAGGTGCAGTAACACAGGACATTTCCTGATGCTGCCGGACCTAGGACACAGTACTGTGAGGTGCAGTAAGGCAGGACATTTCCTGATGCTGCCAGAACTAGGACACAGTACTGTGAGGTGCAGTAAGGCAGGACATTTCCTGATGCTGCCAGAACTAGGACACAGTCCTGTGAGGTGCAGTAAGGCAGGACATTTCCTGATGCTGCCAGAACTAGGACACAGTACTGTGAGGTGCAGTAAGGCAGGACTAAGGAGATGAGGCTGGTGCGTCTGTACAGAGGCCGTTTATTGTGAATTATTGGCCACTGAGTGTGTGACCCAATATAATCAACACTGTGGGTTCTACATGACTATCATGTAGGCAGTTTCCAGCAGGGCTTTGTCTCTAAACCATTCACACTCGTCTGTCTCCCAGACCCTACAGAATCAATTAAGAAATTAATCCAACTCAAGTCTAGAATGATTAGGCAAGTCCAGATTGCCTCAGTTAAAGGTAAAATTAAGCATTCTTTCTGGGACTCCATTTGGATTTTATTCCATAATTTGTAGACATATATCTTCAAATGAGATAACTGTATTTCCGTGACTAAATTTTGGTAGTGATGGAGGCACCGCAAGGTAAAGGGTCCACCACACATGCTACAGTGGGTAGGGTCCCCAATGGGATTGGAGGTCACACTGTTGGTTACCAGCAATAACTCACAGTCTGGTCACAATGTGTGACTTTGGTATTGGTGTGGGACGTTTCTCATACTGTCCTCAACGTTACATGCTTTGTTTGTTTGGGATTTTTTTGGTTGTTGTTTATCGCCGCACTCAGCAATTTTCTAGCTATATGACGGCCGTCTGTAAATAATCGAGTCTGGAACAGACAATCCAGTGATTGACATCATGAGCATCGATCCACGCAATTGGAATCGATGACATGCATCAACCAAGTCAGCAAGGCTGACCACCTGATCCCGTTAGTCGCCTCTTACGACAAGCATCATATAAGTCGCCTTTTACGGCAAGCATTGGTTGCTGAAGACATATTCTACCCCGGATCTTCACGGGTCTCATGCATAGAGGCAGACAAATGGCATGGTATGAACATGAAATATATCAGTCATTCTCTAAAAAAAAGTAATATTTTCTTGAACATAACTCATTATTCTGTTTTCACATTATTTGACAATGAAAGATATTTGTCGGTTGTATGCAATATTCTGCTAGAATTACTGCTATAACCTTATGTTAGCCAGTACAATATGTTAAGTGTGCAGAAAAGAGCAGAAATTGGTTTTCCAATAAATACAAAATCAAACTTTTTCAAATTATCTAAACAGTGCTAAAGTCTCTTGGAAGTTTAAAGTTGGAACAAATATTCCCAAAGCCCTGATGACTTATGTTGCATGACATAATGAATGGCATATAACACCAAAAAACTTATTGATTTTCCACCTGGATTCATTATTTTTGGTAACAGTAATCTTGTCCAAAGTAATAGTGTCTGTCCTGTCACAAGATAGCACAAATACAAATAATAATCACTCCCTTGGTATCTCGGAGTGCTAAGGTCTTCTCAGGTCACTTCCTTCCAGTTCCATCAAGGCACCATGTCCTCAAGCAATTTACCGTGCTGAAGTTTCTCAAAAATAACTGGTTAGTGTTGTCTCTTGATATGTACTTTTTGTGGGTGTCTGTACTGTTACCCTGCATTTTGGATTCCGAAATTGTTCAAATCTTAAAACTTAATCAGTATATTTGGCTCTCAGAGTGGAGCTCAACCAGTGTGCTTTTTTGAGTACAAGGGAGAAGTCATTGCCCTACACTGGCATTATGGCAAGGTTTGTCTCTCCTGTCACTGTCTCTGCTGTCACCTTAAAAAATGTGACAGGGCAGACATTTTTAGGCAACAGCATACATATACTTTAATAGACATTTCAACAAATAAAGTTTAAAGTGTGATAACTATCTTTTCCTTATAGAATAATGATAGTCCCCTTTGAATGTAATCAGTAGACAGGTTTATCATATATCTTTATGCATATAATTCCATAGTATGCACATATTTACAGTCTAATAATTTAGTCATGCCAATGTATGAAAATTAATTGTTGTTGATCTTTCAACTATGCCTAAACACAACAACCATACCAAAAAGTTAATTAATTTAAGATCTATTTTCGGTGACAAAAACTGAACTTTAGGCAAGGTAACAGCCGAGACATTTAGTACATTGATGCAAAAATTAATTTTCTGTAAAATTGAAAATAAGGCTTATTAAGCCTTCACACTTTACGTTTATATTCAGTAATTGTTATATTGTTTATCTGCTCAATAAAAACATTTCAAAAGGGAATTTAGTTTTGTTGTTTTTCCTTGGCCTGAAATGTTACCTTTTAAAGAGAATGACCCATATACCTGTACAATATGGAACATAACTTGTAGAATACATCTTATAGGGCTGTAGGTTTTGTTATGTATATTATAGTATATTAACAGCTAACTGATCATAAACTGGCCTGCAATTATCGGGAAAAGCAGGGCCACTGTAACTTGATAATGCCTTCATTTTGCCAAATGACGAGCCATTATCAATCACATTGCAATGATGTTATAGCTTATTTGCATACAAACATAAACAATTCCTCTACGCTGTATCAGTATAGCTCTGTCAACTCTGGTAACGTATCAAACACCTCAGGAGTCAACCGTTGATATATCACGGTGTATGGGTTGAACACCTCAGGAGTCAACCGTTGATATATCACGGTGTATGGGTTGAACACCTCAGGAGTCAACCGTTGATATATCACGGTGTATGGGTTGAACACCTCAGGAGTCAACCGTTGATATATCACGGTGTATGGGTTGAACACCTCAGGAGTCAACCGTTGATATATCACGGTGTATGGGTCGAACACCTCACAAGTCAACTGTTGATATATCCCAGTGTATGGGTCGATGATGTACCAGGCATACATTTAGAAGAAAACCATAGTGAATGCTCAAATGTTGTAGGACCACTGTAAGCTCACCTGTTTTCCTCTCAGACTTCAGCTGATACTTATATCACCATCCTTGACAGGTCCAATCTGCTGACCCTAAAAAGAAAAAGTGTGGAATTTATCAACATGTATTTAATGACTATAACATCAAATGAAACGAACGTATGTAGACTGTTGACACATGCTGTTATGATGGAAATATCCAAAACACAACACACTCTGTCACACTCTCAAATCAATTTTCTTAAAAAATGTGACATGTATCGCAAACGCTGGATAAGAAGAAAATAAATATTGTAGGAAGAGGATAATCAGTGCAGGGCTGATATGAGACATGCATACCTCCCCAGTCATTTAATTGGTATTGGTATTGGTATTGGTATTAAAAGTAACATGAGTTGTCTCCCCATCAGGTTTATCAACGCTATGGTTTGTTTGTTTTAATGCTGCACTCAGCAATATTCCAGATATATGATTGTGGTCTGTAAATAATTGAGTCTGGATCAGACAAGCCAGTAATTGATATTATGATCATCAATCGGGTCAATTCTTCTGACATCATGAACATGAGTTATCTCCCCATTTTTCTTCAATGATATTATAAGTAACATGAGTTGTCTCCCCATCAAATGACATCAGAACTATTTGTCCAGAGGTGTGAAGGAAGTTCCTCTGGCCTGCGATGCAATCAATAGATGAAGTTCCTCAGTATCATTGACAGCCAATAGGTGGCGCTGTATTCGGAGAAGCAGATGCCCTATTGACCGACAACTAATTTGACCTTGCCTGCAACGCTGACCAGTCAGACTGTACTACAGTAATGACTTGCAGCCCAGCTGGACGTGTGACAGCACCATTGACTGCAGAAAACATGGCCTCCAATATATAGGTCATTCTGTCAGAACTACCATACAAACAAGAAGACAAAGTCTTTGATATCCATCTCCATTTAAAGTAGGTGCATGAAATCACAAAAAGTATGTCAATTACCTATTATACCAGAAAAGGTTATTCCTAAAACTTGTGACTACAACTGACATTAAGATAGATGGTTCTGAACCAAAGCATTCCCACAAGTCCATAAATGATTTAAATACGTACCAAGAATGTGAATTACTAGTGGTACTTTAAAAATAGAAAGAACTTTTCATTTGATAACAATGTAATATATATAAAATCTTCAAAACTCTAAATCACTGTTGTTTGATAGACATTCCTAAGAAGTTGATGGATGACAAAGTAGACAAAATTTATTGATAACAACTTCTATATTATACTGTAATAGCGACATTTCAGTATAGATTCTCATCATCTCATTCTGTGGACAAGCTAGCCTGAATATTGAACATGGTACAGAATTATATGTGGTGGGCAAAGGATTAACCATAACGACAACTATCACTTGTAGAGGGCTGAACATGTGGTGGATGGCCTGGGTTACTAATATTAATAACAGCAGAAGGACAATATAGTAACAACAACTATCACTTGTAGAGGGCTGAACATGTGGTGGGTGGCCTGGGTTACTAATATTAATAACAGCAGAAGGACAATATAGTAACAACAACTATCACTTGTAGAGGGCTGAACATGCGGTGGATGGCCTGGGTTACTAATAACAGCAGAAGGACAATATAGTAACAACAACTATCACTTGTAGAGGGCTGAACATGTGGTGGATGGCCTGGGTTACTAATATTAATAACAGCAGAAGGACAATATAGTAACAACAACTATCACTTGTAGAGGGCTGAACATGCGGTGGATGGCCGGGGTTACTAATATTAATAACAGCAGAAGGACAATATAGTAACAACAACTATCACTTGTAGAGGGCTGAACATGTGGTGGATGGCCTGGGTTACTAATATTAATAACAGCAGAAGGACAATATAGTAACAACAACTATCACTTGTAGAGGGCTGAACATGCGGTGGATGGCCGGGGTTACTAATATTAATAACAGCAGAAGGACAATATAGTAACAACAACTATCACTTGTAGAGGGCTGAACATGTGGTGGGTGGCCGGGGTTACTAATAACAGCAGAAGGACAATATAGTAAAAACAACTATCACTTGTAGAGGGCTGAACATGCAGTGGGTGGCCTGGGTTACTAATATTAATAACAGCAGAAGGACAATATAGTAACAACAACTATCACTTGTAGAGGGCTGAACATGTGGTGGGTGGCCAGGGTTACTAATAACAGCAGAAGGACAATATAGTAACAACAACTATCACTTGTAAAGGGCTGAACATGTGGTGGATGGCCTGGGTTACTAATAACAGCAGAAGGACAATATAGTAAAAACAACTATCACTTGTAGAGGGCTGAACATGTGGTGGGTGGCCAGGGTTACTAATAACAGCAGAAGGACAATATAGTAACAACAACTATCACTTGTAGAGGGCTGAACATGTGGTGGGTGGCCGGGGTTACTAATATTAATAACAGCAGAAGGACAATATAGTAACAACAACTATCACTTGTAGAGGGCTGAACATGTGGTGGATGGCCGGGGTTACTAATATTAATAACAGCAGAAGGACAATATAGTAACAACAACTATCACTTGTAGAGGGCTGAACATGTGGTGGGTGGCCGGGGTTACTAATATTAATAACAGCAGAAGGACAATATAGTAACAACAACTATCACTTGTAGAGGGCTGAACATGTGGTGGGTGGCCAGGGTTACTAATAACAGCAGAAGGACAATATAGTAACAACAACTATCACTTGTAGAGGGCTGAACATGCAGTGGGTGGCCTGGGTTACTAATAACAGCAGAAGGACAATATAGTAACAACAACTATCACTTGTAGAGGGCTGAACATGTGGTGGATGGCCGGGGTTACTAATATTAATAACAGCAGAAGGACAATATAGTAACAACATGAGTAACACAAGAGGATGAAGCCAACTAAACAGGAGGCCCATTAACCAATTAAACCAGTTGAAATACCTAGGGGGATAATTGGGGAAACTAATTTTATTGCTTGATGAGTTCACAATAGGCGGATGGGATGAAATAACCCAGATGTCTGTTTTATCTATATCACTATTCCATACAATAGAGAAAAAGAGAATCAAACAATTCCTTGAAAGATGTATGTTGCTGTTCTTGCTTTTTAAAATAAACACTCCTCTTAGATGATGAGATAATGAGACACTATCAGAGTATGGCATCACACAATCAACCAATCAACCAATCAATCAAGCCTGACCACACAATCTGTCACCTCTCAAAACAAGCAATGAGGTTGCTGTACAATGTATGATATATGATGTGCTTACAAAATGAAGACCAACTTGTTTTTGTCTTAGAAATGCAAAATCTAAACATTTATAAAACTCCTCAATAGCATTTGCCCGATGCTCCGAAAATGAACCCTACCCCATACAACAAAATGTTCAGTGCACACCTTATGTGTAAATAAAGTTTCATGAAATATTTAGAGGTTTATGAATCATGCTCTGGAAAACAAACATGACGGATGGAAGGACAGTTGACGGATGGAAGACGGAGCCTGTTGCTGTATCCAGTGCAAAACTATATTTGGCTGGGGGACAATAATCAACTACTCAGTTTCAGGTCGGAAAACAAACAACTTCAAAGATTTACCTCTCTTCCTGGTAAATAAACTACGGAATCAAGCCTGTAAGTCTTGTGATGTTGTGATAAACATGGCGGGCCGTGTTCACTACCATACACAGTCATGATAATGTCCCAGTCAGATCACAAGACTGAGCCACCCTGGAACCATGTCACATACTACTGGTAATCCTGCAACACAGAAAATTCAACTATACTTTTTTTGGTAATGTTTCCAAAACGGATCTATGCCAACATTTAGCATGTTTAGAGTATATATATTTATTTGTAACTTTACTTGCAACCTACATCTGAGAATACTGCCACTTCCACGCAGCTGGCTTTAAGTGGTTTGTGTATTAAATAATGAAATATCTCAACACTAGGGCTGCAACGAATACACTATGAGGCGAGTATGATACGTATCATGAACATAGGGTAACGAATACAAATATTTATTCACGAATACAATAACAAGTTACTTCTGGTGTTACGTGTTCACGTCAATCAGCTCAGGTATTGTCTTTGCATTGGGGAAAAGTGAGTGAGTGAGTATGGTTTTACACCACTTTTTGCAATATTCCAGCAATATCACGGCGGGGGACACCAGAAATGGGCTTCACGCATTGTGCCCATGTCAGGAATCGAACCCGGGTCTTCGTTGTGACAAGCAAACGCTTTAACCACTAGGCTAACCGACCGCCCCCATTGGGGAAAAACATTGTGTCAGTGTAAAACTTGAGTTCATTAAAAATGTACGTAAATGTACATCATGTAATTGCTTAGGTTGAATCATTTCTGTGATATTTTTTGTGAAGCAAACAAGCAATACATTGCAACAATGACGCTTATACTATAGCCTCATGTTTTGGTTGACAGCACCATTAGGGGCCTTGACAAACTGACACAAGTTATGTTACTGCTGGCTTGTTTATATTCCATTTTGCATATCTCGCTTTGATAAATAACTGACGAGTTAAAAAACACTCTTTACCAAAAAATCGTACGTATTCGATTCCAGTGACCACGAATAAATAATTCAATTCAAGAAGGTATACTGTACAATTCATCGAATACGCGAGTGAATCGTAACAGCCCTACTCAATGCAACTAAAACTTGATTAAATGACACAGCAGGAATATGTTATATTCAATTACAGCATTTTTCCTTCATTAAAACTTGTCTGACATAAAGTCTGAAGAGAATATTATTTATAGGGTCCCCCGATTCCCTGATTGCACAGTAAAACCTGCCTGGGCCAGACCTGATCTATGATGCAATGATTCAGTCATATTGACATGAGTGGCTACTAACCCCCTAAACAATACGACTTCTGAATCTCCCGAGACTTACTTTCAAATTCAGCTGATTCATGAGGAGCTTTAGGTTGAAATGGCAAAATTGCCTCAATTATTTGTGATTTTTTGTTTGTGTGTGAGTAGGTGGCGAGAGAGACGCTAGCATCTCAGTAAACAACATCAGTAGAAAGGAAGGTAG